TTTTTTTTTTTTTTTAAGACTTGGAATAGATTTTTGTTTTGTGAGGAATAAAAATTTTGTGAACTATGTTAAGTGAAGTGACCGTATCTCGTACGAAACGCTGTCTTAGGTATGTCTGACTCCTTGATTTTCAATTGATGGTAGCGTGAACGTAAATCGATCTTGGAAAATACACAGGCACCCCTTAACTGATCAAATAAATCATCGATCCTGGGAAGCGGATATTTATTCTTCATTGTCAACCGGTTAAGATCCCGGTAGTCAATACACATACGCATAGATCTTTCCTTCTTCTTGACAAAGAGAATGGGTGCTCCCCAAGGTGAAACGCTCGGTCGAATAAAACCGAGATTCAGCAACTCTTGAATTTGGGTCTTTAATTCCTGCAATTCTTTAGGTGCCATTCTGTATGGCGCCTTAGAAACGGGTCCGTCTCCAGGGATAAGATCAATAGAAAATTCCACCTATCGGCTAGGTGGACCACCGGGAAGCTGGTCTGGAAACACGTCCACAAACTCACGAACAATGGGAATGTCATGAGGTGACCGTGCTTTTGGCTCATCTCCGACGAGGCTCACAAGGTAACCCTGGCAATCACCCCGTCGAAGAATCCTCCTGGCTTTCGCCATAGAAATAATATGGGGCAGAGTACGAGTCCTGGAGCCGAAATAAATGATCTGATCATCTCCCGGAAGATAAAGAGTAATCTCCCGGTCATGACATCGGATATCTGCGTGAAAACGTGTTAGCCAATCCATACCGAGTATGAGGTCAAAATCTTTCATCTCAATAACATAAGCACCAATAGTCAAAATACGGCCGCCAATGGAAAGGCTGAGATCGGTGGCTCTAACATCAGTCACTATCTTTCTTCCCGAGGCTAAACTCACCTCGAGAGAATCGACAGTGATAAGAGAATGAACTTCTATAGCTTCGAGACATCGGCGTGATATAAAAGAATGGGTCGCTCCGGTGTCAAATAAGGCATAAACAGGCACATCATTAAGAATAATCATCCCGGACATGGTACCTGGGT